ATAATAATTCTTGCTTTTGACGAAGCTCCTTTCATGGCAGGAGGAAATCCCAAAGTGCTTAACAGGAGATGCTGTAAACTGAAGTTTCCCTTCTGTGTACTTTTGTTGGTGAACACGTCAGCCAATTTGCACGCAGCAATATCCCACAAACAGCCAATGAATTGAATGACCAATTTTATTTGGAGGATTGTTGGCCAGGACACCTTATCTTTATCTTTTTGAAAATTGCCATGGGATCTTTAACATCCATCTGAACAGACCTTGAGATGGGGAGGAGGGACTCCAGGATGGAGTTCCAGAGGGCACGGGAACAGTAGCTGAAAGCTTGTCCATTGATACTATTATTATGTTATTGAGTTGGAATGTTTTTTTACCCAGAGTGTTGTTACAACCTGGAATGCACTGCCTGAAAGAGCGGTGGAAGCAGATTCAATAATAACTATCAAAAGGGAATTGGATATGAACTGCAAAAGGAAACATTTGCAGAGCTATGGGGTAAGAGTGAGGGAGTGAGACTAGTTGGTAGCTCTTTCAAAAAGCCAGCACAGGCACGATGAGCCGAATGGCCTCCTTCTGTGCTGTAAGGTTCCAAGATTCTATGATGGGAAGAATTATCGAACGGGAGAACATGAAGCAGGCCAAAATAGTGCATGTAGTTATGCAGTTGTTATTTTAGGGTCATTTCTGTAAACCAGCTGTTAACCAGGTCCAATGAATATTTGAACAAACTCAGCAAACACTTGTTACACCAATGATCCGTTTACTCCAGTGCAAATTGGTAAAACTGCAATTTGTTCCCAAAACCTTACCGAATTTCAGCAGTCATTTTTGTCCGCCGGTGTAAGATAAAATTCAATCGGTTCTTTACAGTTCCCAGTGGTCATAAACATTGCACGTATGCAGGAGCAATCTGCTGCTTATGTGACGTCTTTGCCGTTGAAATTTTTTTAAAAAAATGCCCACGTTTACGCAAACTTCCATCCAGAAGAACAAAAAGCAGACTGTCAATTTAAGTAACATCTCCAAGGTCAGCCCACTATCAGTACAAATTAGCTGTCACAATACAAATAACTTAACTGCTTGTAATTATTTGCATGAGGAGCACCTTTAGCAGAAACTGCTTGTAATTGTATTTACAATGTGTTAAAGCAAGGATCAATGGCCTTGGTTAGCAGATTGGAAATGATGGACTTGTTTGTCTTTGACTCAGCGCTAATACGGGATGAGCCTCAGAGCATCGAATAGCGGAAATGGAGAGAAGTAGTTAACCAAGCTGGTAACTTGCTTATTCTCCATTGTGCAATAAACAAAATTGAATCAGCTGTTCTGTCCAAGAGGGGTATTCTGCTCTTTGTTGTAATGTTCTGAATTTTTGTGACTATCTGGCTCGGTTGGGTAAGTTTAATAAATGTGTTCATTTTGTGCTTAATACTTAACTAGCATGCCATTTCATCTGTCCCATTTAATTTCGTGTTTGCATTGCGCTGTTATTTATAATGTAAAATGAAGCTTGTTATTTTTTGGCTTTCACTTCACTGAGCAGAATAACTCTCTCACCGAATAACCCCTTCATCTAATGGGTCCTCACGTGTCCCATACTCCAGCTAGAGTAACCATAGCAATAAGAATAATCCTTGCATTTTATATAGGCCTTTCGCGTCGGGAGGAGATCTCAAAGCGCTCAAAGCAAAGGGTAGCAACTTTGTTTTTTTTATTAATGAACACAGGAAGAGCTGTGCTTTGAGAAAGCGCTCTATCGCGTAGAAGGACTATTGTTTTAAAGTGGCGAGATACAGGAGCAGAACATGCACAGCATTGTGCCTCTCGGTCTGCAGAGCCCCCCTCCACCCCTCCAAGCTGCAATACAACAGCAAGGGGTGGAATTTCCAATACAGTAACTGCAAGATATTGGGCCCTTGGCTGTTTACTTCACATGCTAATTGCGAGGATCTTCCTTCCCATTCTCTGCACTCGCTGGCGGCTCAATCCTATCAATACCGAGCCAGCAGCAGTCCTCTGCGTGCTATACGGTTTCTCTTTGTCGGTAAGAGGAGGTCACATTTGGTTCTACGATAACTTGTGGAATGAGCTCCAGTTGCCTGGGAATCACATGATTCACTCTTGGCTCAGAGAGGAGGGAGAGGGAATATTGATCAACCACTGTTCAGCTTCACAAAGCTATATTAAGTTACAAACCAAAGTTATTCTATGCAAACAACTGAGAGGTTGACAGAACCACTCTTTAGAACCTGCTTCTAAAATATAGGACACAAGATACTTCCATCATAGTCTGTAATGGATTATGAATGCTGATAGGAATGGTTTTGAACATCCTCCAGCAGTGAAGCTAAAGTACAAAATCAGGTTCAATTGCCTTAAGGAAATGTAATTATCATTATAGCAAGTCTATCGATAGGGTGGAAACTTTCTGCAATTATCTGCGTTTGAATTTTAACCGGCTTTATCGATTAGAGATCCCCTAGCAGACTATATAATTGTATGGAAGAAATTACTATGCCAAGGGTTTGACAGAGATGTTGCACGGTTGCACGTCTGCAGCTCCAAAACATTCAGAATTTCTGCCTACAGTCGACACAAATAAAACAAAAATGCTGAGTAATCCACCAAAGAGTTCATTGAGAACATCTTTAAACTGTGAAGGATGAATATTTAGAAAAAAAAGGAAAACACCAGTAAATTGATAGTGTTGCATTGACAGGTCCACAAATTCAATTTTCCGCGATTGTAAACAGTGATAGAGATCTCACCAAAATCTTCGGACACAACCAGTCAGGGGAGTGTCAAACAGATATTCTGCATGTTTTTCCCTCAAAGTTCGCAAAATCAGAAGATTGCTTTAGATAGCAAAGGCCTTTTGCTTCACCTTATCTCATCTTTCCAGAAGACCCGTCATACCGTTCCCCCCATCAAAGCCTAATTTCTTAAATTAGTCCATTGTCCTGGCCTCAACCATCTTTCCTGGCAATCTGTTCCAGTCGTTGATTACCCTCTGTGTAAAGAAAAACATCCTGGTGTGCATTTCTGAAATTGTCCTTGGAAACTTGACATAAACCTTTGTCCTCTTTTTCTGCTGACTTGGTGCGTCCAGAAGTATTGTTCTGGTTTTACTTTCTCAACCCGTTAAAAAGTGTTATTAGTAGGATCCAAACTACCATGAGGAATGTCTTGTCACACAGCGCTTGTTTTTTTCTGAGACTGAATTCTTGCAGTGTGGTAGCGCCTAGTCACTGAGTCAAACAAAATTGCAGGTTCAAGTTTTAGTCTTGAGTTTCTGTTTCAGCAACAACTTGCATTTATACAGCACTCTTGTTGGAGGACAGCGCCTCAGAGCGCTGCACAGTGGCAGGGTTCGACATTGGGCAAGAGAGAAGGGCGAGGTGGAGGTGACCATAGGCGTAGTTGAAGAGAATCAATGGCCAATCAATCGCCTTTCACTCTGCAGCTCCAAGAATGCTACACCGATGTTGCAATAATCTTTTTATTTGTCTGTAACTTTGAAATGTCTCAAAGCATTTCACAGCGAATGCCGTGGTGACCGTACCTTTATTGGCAAACAGGGCTGCCAAATTGCAGGCAGCAAGTTTCCCGCAAAAAAAAATGAAGCGAATGACCAATTTATCCGAGGAATCAGACTTCACAATTCTCACCAAAAGGGCACTGCCTGGATATATGTGCGGAAATTCATTGTGGGATACATGATGTACATGTGGCTTCTTGACTCTGAATCACGCAACAGCTTGGGTTGTGGGTGCTTCCTTTCAACTCAACTCCAATTTAAAATCGATCTCGTAAATATGTATTCAGACTGCGCAGCGAAACCTTAGCAGTTTTCACATCAGGCTCAGTCATAAAGATGACTTGGAATCAATGGTAGCTCAGGGTGAGGCGTTATACAAAACCTATTTGCCATTCAGTTCACACAAGCCAGAAGAGATTTTGATAAACTAGGTTGATAGTAACCTAAGTAAATGCGACTGCACTGACCCAAACCATCAGTGGGCTTCAGATAAATGTAACTGGGAATGTCAGATTCATTAATGATATTGCAGTATAATATTCTCATACAGGGATTTGAACGGAGCTGATCAGCAGGTGGATTGACAGTCACTGCCACAAACTGTCAAACGGCAAGTGTTTGAGGATTTGTTCTGCAAAACATCACGACCTGCCCATCATTTAGTTGATTTAATGGTACAATAGCTGAGGATGGCGATCAGATGGGGAGTGAGCAAGAAATAAATCAAATTACGCTCCAGCTAACCGGGCATTCACTTTGGTTTGACGGATTCTATAGCAAGAGGCAACCATTGGCTGACACGTTTCAATAATATGATATAACAATAATATAATCCTTGCATTTGATATAGCGCCTTATCACACCTTCGAGACATCTCAAAGCACTTCACAGAATACACTGTGAAGTCTAGTGACTGTACACTTTGTGGGTGAAACGCGGCAGCCAATTGCGCGCAGTCACATAATGTGATATTGCCTGATTCTCTAGATTTCATGCAAATGTTTTTCACCGACGAGCTTGAATTCATTTTGGTGCATCTTCTCGAGAACTAGTTTTCCGACTCGCTCTGCTATCTATTTTGCAACGGAGTCCGTGAAGGTCTGCATTTAAGGCAGAGTTGCGTAGTGTCACTTTCACAAATCACTGCAATCCATATATCAAGAAGGGTGAAAAAATATCTGTCGAGATCTAAAACTGGCGTAACAGGCTTGATGGGCTGAATGGCCTCCTCCTGTACCGATTTTCCTATCACAATCCATATTGACTACACTTTCGGTCATCTTTCCCCTCCTCACTTCCCTCGACTCCCACCCCCAGCTTGGGTGTCGAGGGCTTTGGGAGTTCCTCACAGCGCTATGTAAATGTAAATTTGTATTGTACATTTGGAAACGTTGGTCACTAACAGTTTGAACTGGTCTTGAAAGGGTCTGAAATATGTCACCACTTGTTTTCTTGCCCGCAGGAAGTGCAGGGAACCCTGTGACATTCAATGAGAACGGAGATGCCCCAGGACGTTATGATATTTACCAGTATCAAGTCAAGGACAACTCTACTCATGCATATACAGTTATCGGAAAATGGGCTGACAAACTCCAATTAGAGGTAAGACGCTGCCTTTTTTTTTCTTTCCTTTATAAAGTGCGCATTCTTAATTCAAGTGTGTGTTGGGCATGTGCCGAATGCGCTTTAAAGGCAGCATTATTAATTACTTTCAAAAACTAATATTAATTTGATCACTCAATCCACGACTGTTTGTGGGACACTGCTGCGCGTAATTGGGTGGTGTGTTTCGCCCACAAAACATACAGTCAATTCACTTTGCAGTATATCCTGTGAAGCTTTTTGAGACATCTCGAAGACGTGATAAGGCGCTATTTCAAATGCAAGGTTTATTATTATTATTGACCGAATTCCATCGACAGTTTCGAACAAATTAATTTGTAACTGATTGCTGAACTTCAAAACCTTATTGGGTGTCTCGTTTCATTTTTTGACAGCTCTCCATTCGGGGGGGCTTAAATCCAATGGTGACATTTTTATCTAAAATGGCACATTTTATTGGGATAAAATTTGAAGCCGTTTGTTTGTGTTTTGCATTGCACTTGGAATAAGAATACCTGCCTTTCAGATTTAAAGGATGCCAGGTTAGGTCATGTGGTTTGCATCCTAATATTCACTATTGTCAGATCCAGCATTATCACCTTTGGGAATGAAGTTTCTCTGGCATTTCTCTTCGATGTGGAATTTTCTCTTCAGGCGGGATGGTGTCTCGGAGCTCTTAACAATGGCAGAGTTTGACCCTGAATGGGGACAGAAAGGGGAGGTGATCATAGGCACGGTCACAGAGAATAGTCGTAAAGTGTGATCTGAAGGCAAGTTCGAGACTTAAACATTGTTTATTGCACTCTGTGCTCTTGATGTAGTACAGTTATGCTCCCATCAAATAACGATTCAGGTAACATTTCATAAGTAAAGAGTCACATAAGAACATAAGAATTAGGAGAAGGACTAGGCCATTCGGCCCCTCTGGGCTGCCCCGCCATTCAATAAGATCATGGTTGATCTATTCTAACTCCACCTACCCGCCTTATCCCCATATCCCTTAATCCCTTTATCCACAAGAAATCTATCAATCTCAGTCTTGAATATGTTCAAGGACTGAGTATCTACAGCCCTTTGGGGTAGAGAATTCCATAAATTCTATAACATAACTAGCCTCTGAGTGAAGAAGTTTTTGCTCACTGCTCACCTCAGTGCAAAAGATCTGACCCCTAATTTTAAGACTGTGATCCCTGGTTATAGTTTCTCCAACCAGGGGAAAAAGTCTCCCACTATCTATTATTATTATTATTGTTATTATTATTATTATTATTATGTCATGCCCCTTAAAGTAAGTAAGTAGAAATTCATATCTGATTTCAGGAGAAATGAGGGAGGATTTTAATTAACGAAGCTTAACAGGTAACTCATCTTGGTCAAGAATGCTATGGTTCTTCTGAATGCCAGGCCCAAAACTCTGGTCCTGTATAAAAAACGCAGGTTAAAAGAAATTGTCCTTCAAGGTCCCACAATGAAAAATAGTCTCTCTGATGTAAGAGCAATCTCTTGAAGGTTTTTCTGTAAACTAAATAAGATCTGCACAATCAATAAAGCGACAGCTAACAGAGGGCAAAGATTATCAAAGCAGCAGATTAACTGGTTAACTTTGGTGAGTGCCATTACTTTAAGAAAAATAATGATTTTCAGAGAATTGTTGGGTTCTCAGTGAAAAGATGTACACTGTTGGCCGACTGAGAATACTTTCAAGAAAACAACAACTTTTATAGTGCCATTCATGTTGAATAACATCTTGGAGCACTGTAAAAAGATTAAACAAACTGAAACTTAATTGGCTCAACTAGATCCTTCTCAGAATAAAATTTGCCACATGCTACAAAATGGCCAACATTAGTAATAATAATATTCCTTGCATTTCATACAGCGCCTTATCACATCTTTTGAGACGTCTCAAAGCGCTTCACAGAATATACTGCAAAATTGATTGACTATATTTTGCGGGCGCATAGTATGTCTTTTCCTGCACGTTACCCATATGTACAGGAAGTATTGCTGATGTTGCTTCTTGCATACTGGACACACACAGACACACACACACCAGAATTAATGACAATGACCACCTGACAATCTGGAAGTTTGTCTGTTGCAAGGTTGTAGTCAAGATCCCTGGTAAGAAATGACTGAAGTTCTAGTTCTAAACCTTGTTCTCTTTCAGCAAAGGCTTGATTGCCTGGTCTTCCGATCCATAAAAGGAAGCTTAGATTTAAGCAGATATGGTCAATGGGAAAAACAATGCAAATCACATCCTGTACTTGTACATGTTGTTACTTGAGATTGCTTCAGTAACAGATGAGGTGGAGAAGAACATGGGTAATTGAATGAAACAGTGCGATGTGACGACACATCACACAAGCATTTGATTTCAAGGGAACTGATGAAACGAAAACAACAGTGCCCTTTGATTGTTTTTAAAAAATCCAGTGCTTCCTGTTCAATAATGCCGTTGACTTGATTCATATTGAATGAAATCAGCCAAACATGTTCTTCCTTCTCCAACCTGCTCAGCTCGATTTAATTTTTCACTTGGAGAGTTCTGGGAATGTGCTAAGTAAGGCGGTAGAGCCAGAGTCAATTGTGGGTTTCAAGAGAGAAGTAGACAGGCACATGAAGGATAGAGGCTTGAAGGTGTATGAGGATAAGATAGGGCAGTGGGATTGAATGAACACCCTATTCTGAGAGCCCTGCAAACTAGGATGGACCGAATAGCCCTCTTCGTTGCGGTAATTTTCTATGACTCTAACATGTCAAGGATTGTCCTATTGCTCTCTAGAGAAGCAGAGAAGACTGGGTACTAAATACTGTGTAGTAAATGAACTTCAATTTCACCAGCTGTTTCATAGAGCTGTGTTGTAATGAGTTTTGTAACCGGAACGATTTTATATTAGATCACGCACTCTTCAAAAGTCAATTACACTGAATACATCTTGACCTATTTGTTGATGTTAATTATTATTGATTTCTGTATAAAGTCCTCATTTGCTGGTTACCTCTTGCTGCATTGATGGAAAAGAATCTTGCCTTCTGACAGATGACCAAATTAATCCAAATTTCACCATGGATTAAATGCAAATATTTGTTAGTCGATTGGCGGATTACTTTTCTGGGGTTAATAATTCCTTTAAAAAATAAAAACAAAATAATAAATTGGTCGCTCAATCCACGACTGTTTTTGGGACACTGCTGTGCGCAATTGGCTACCATGTTTCCCCCACAAAATATATAGTCAATTCACTTTCCAGTATATTCTGTGAAGTGCTTTGAGACGTCTCGAAGACCTGATGAGGCGCTATATCAAATGCAAGGATTATTATTATTATACTCCGCAGTTTAGAGAGCGACTAGACTTGGGCCAGAGTGAATATTTTCTCACAATCTGTCCAGAAACCTATAGATGCAGAATCGAGTGAATCATTCAAGAAAGCGATGGATACTTACTTGGGAATTGGAAATAGTGAATGATATGTTGAGAAGGCAGTCAAGTGGGATTAGGAGAGCTGGAAATGTGTAGAGATGTGGCAATGTTTTTCTCCAATTCCTGTGTTAAAATGATCTGCACCCACAATTCTTCATCCTCTCCATTGCCCCCTCTTTCAGCTGTGCAACTACTTTAGAATATTTTGCATTGTTCTGCCAAAACGGGCAATGCATCTGTTTTAAAAAAAATAACGATAGACTTGAGAGGGTACTCTGAAAATGTTGACATTTGGTTTATTAATCTTTGTTAGCATTGCTATCCGGACACTTGTAAGTTCACTGTCCTTACCTCCTACCAGACCACTGTGTGACAGATCTGATCAGGAAGCTATCGCAAGTTACATTGTCTCAGAGTCTGCCTACAAACTGAGATTATTCTGCCAACAACGATGCAAACCACTCACACCAAATTGGAAGAAATTCCACCTTGGTCTACATTTACTCTGTGTGCGCAGCATTTCACACACTCTCTTGCTTCTTTCATCAAGTCTGCAAAACCCTGGTAGACCCCAGCTGGAGTATTGTGTTCAGTTCTGGGCACCACAATTTAGGAAAGATGTCAAGGCATTGGAGAAGATGTAAAGGAGATTTACCAGGATGGTACCAGGAATGAGCGATTTCAGTTATCAGGAGAGGCGAGAGAAACTAGGATTATTCTCCTTGGAGCAGAGAAGGTTAAAAGGAGACTTAATAGAAGTTTTCAAAATTATGAGGGAATTCAATAAGGTGAACAAGGAGAAACTATTCCCACTGGCGGGTGGGTCGGTAACCCGAGGACACCGATTTAAAATAGCTGTTAAAAGAAACAGAGGGGAGTTGAGGAGAAATTTTTTCACACAGCGAGTCGTTCGTATCTGGAATGCATTGATTGAAAAGGTGGCGGAAGCTGATTTGATAACAACTTTTAAGAGAGAAGAGGATAATTATTTGGGGAGGTCAAGATTGCAGGGCTATGGGGAGAGAGTGGGGGAGTGGGATAGATTTGGATAGCTCTTTCAAAGAGCTGGCACAGATATGATGGGCCGAATGGCCTCCTTCTGTATAATTCTATGAAGTCCCATCTAAATCCGTGCCTTCACGGTCAGAAAAACAAAATTGGTTGTTTTAATTGCAGTCTATCAAAGAAAACAATAAAGGCATTTAATAGCCTTTTTTTTCTATTTATGTGCCCCTAAAATCACTGTTCAAACTGAGAAATGGTTTGGAAGGTTTGAATCTGCATTTGTTTTATACTTGAGAAGTTCAAATACTTTCATGTCTGATCTCTTCTCCGTTACTAGTGGAGTGCTATAGCTTAGTAGTTAGAGCACTCGCCTTGCAAACGAGAGACCTGGGTTCAGGCAAAATGTTGGGCACTATTTTCCTTACTCCATGCGGTGTCTGAACGATGTAATCAGGTGATATATCAAATGCAAGGATTATTATCTTATTATTAGTTATACAGTGCCTTTCACGTGGGGAAGTATCTCAAATCGTTTGCATTTGAAAACACATGTGCCTTGCGGGTTGACACTTGGCAGAATGTGTTACCTGCAGCTTCTCCTCTGTCTGTGGTTCTGAACCTATCTCTGGTTACAACAATCTCCCCTTTTTTGATTGCTCGCAGATTCCGTCAATGAAATGGCCAGGAGGAGTCTGGAAGGTCCCGCCGTCCATTTGCAGCCTGCCCTGCAAACCGGGGGAAAGGAAAAAGATAATCAAAGGCATCCCGTGCTGCTGGACCTGTGAACTGTGCAGCGGGTACCAATACCAGGTGGATAAATTCAACTGCAAGGTCTGTAACTTTGACATGCGTCCCAATGAGAACCACACAGGCTGCCGCTCCATCCCCATCGTCAAGCTGGAGTGGTATTCCCCCTGGGCCGTTGCACCCGTGTTCTTTGCAATCATCGGTATCATTGCCACACTATTTGTTGTGATAACCTTCATACGTTACAACGATACACCCATAGTGAAAGCGTCCGGACGCGAATTGAGCTACGTGCTGCTGACGGGGATTTTTCTCTGCTACGCCATTACCTTCCTGATGATAGCGGAGCCCGATGTTGCCATTTGCTCCATGCGTCGCATTTTCCTGGGGCTGGGCATGAGTTTCAGCTACGCAGCCCTGCTCACCAAGACCAACAGGATATATCGGATATTCGAGCAGGGGAAGAAGACAGTCAGTACTCCCAAGTTGATCAGCCCTGCCTCTCAGCTGGTGATAACTTTTAGTCTCATCTCTTTGCAACTGACGGGCGTCTGCATTTGGTTCATTGCCGACCCGCCGCACTTCTACATAGACTATGACGACCAAAAGACTGCCAACCCCGAGCTGGCCCGAGGAGTTCTCAAATGCGACATTTCTGACCTGTCCCTCATCTGCTTACTTGGATATAGCATGCTCCTAATGGTGACATGTACCGTGTATGCCATCAAAACCAGAGGCGTTCCAGAGACATTCAATGAGGCCAAACCTATTGGATTTACCATGTACACCACCTGCATTGTCTGGTTAGCTTTCATTCCAATCTTTTTCGGAACGGCACAGTCTGCAGAGAAAGTAAGTGCTAATTATCGCCTTCCAACGATTTTACGTTTTATTGTTTGATTCCCGCAAACAGAATCTGAAAATATCAGGTCACTGATGAGGGTTGATGGCCTTCTACCCAGTCTTAGATAAAATGAAACGCTGATTAAAAAGTCATTATCCTTCACTTTATGCGGCCCTGAATCAGGCTGGATTAAAAAGACTCGAGAGTTCTGCTCGATTACTACCAGCCTGTTGTTCCTCAGTGGTTTTAAGACCAGCCCATCAAATGATTATGATCATTATGTCACCGTGTGTTCTACTTTGATGTGTTGCAATTGGTGCATTGAATTAAGAAAAACAATTTTGGAGTCGTTATTCAGCAGGTTAGGACACGCGTGCTAATAGCCCCCACTATTTACCATCTTTGACAGGACTTGCACACCCTAGGGGTCTCAGGTCATTAGTACTCATTAATAATAAGTTTATTGCTAACAATTAAAAGATGATGCATGTACTGCTGGTATTCTTTCCTCTTTTAGTTACAAACGGCCCATTGATTTTTGAAATAGATTGCTGTTGACTAGCGTAGAGCATGAGTACAGCCCTGCTATAGTTCTCATTCAAATTGGCCCTTTCTTAGGAATGGAGCAAATTAATAATCTTCCTCTGGAACAAGATTGGTAGAGGAGAGTCGAGACTAGACATGACACTAATGTCGGCAGAGAGCAGACACAATATTCACCTGGCTTATTATTGAAAAGGAATGAGCTGAGTGTCTGAATTGATACAGGGACCTGCATTAGTTTTCATCTTGATACGTTTCACATCTAGTTAGATTGAGGACATAATGGGAAATAGTTTCAATGTTCGGGTTTGTTTGCCGACAAGTGCACAGTGACTTTGAGATGTTTTGAGGTATTGAGGCCTCCTTTGAATCCAGCTGGGTGTACAGGCCTAAGATTAATAGAGATGAGATTTAATCACACAATGTGCACACGTGCAAGCAACTGGAGTTTTTTTGCTGGTAGTTTGAAGGTAACTGTTTAGACGTTTGTACAATGTAGGGTTAAATTCAGAGAGAGCAAGGGAGAGGGAGAGAGTGCAGAGGAACAGAAAGGTGGAAAGATAGAGAGGTGCAGGGAGAAAGAAACTCGGAGAAAGAGCAAGGCAAGGAGAGGGGATGAGAGGGAGAGAGAGAGGGTCAGAAAGTGTCAAAGAAAGAAAGAAAGAAAGTAAGCAAGAAGCAAGCAAGCCCTGGTATAGTGTGGCAGTATAACGCCTCATGGGAACAATTTTGTAGTTATCTCTGTAGCCAATTTGTACACATATGATGTTCAATTATCTGCACTGTTTGCTTAACCACAACAGGGCCAATCCCAATTATTTTGGATAACCAGCTCTCTGCTGCAATGCTTGTTCCTTCCCATGGATGTTATACCTCCTGCGAGTGGCATGATCACATCTCTCTCCAATTAGTGGAAATATTTATCCTTTGAGAATCGATCAGGAGCGATTGTTGAGAGTGGGAACATGTCAAACCCACATCTCGAAACATTAGCTTAATGAGCATTCACATTATCTCTCCCTAGCCCTGAAACAAATGATAAGGGGGTACAGTGGACCATCGAAGCCTGATTTTGTAGTTTCATTACCTAATTAATATTTAGTATACTGTTATGAGCAAAATGCATTTTGACATCTCTTGAGACAGGATTAGTATCACACTTACAGCTAACTGCAATTCACTTCCTCCTTCCTTGCTTGTGAGTTATCAAGCCAACACCCCTGGTGGGATATAAATTTCACTGCAAATGTCACCTCCACTTAAACAGCTTCCCTGTAATTTTAACCCTAACGTACAAAAATAAATATTGCAGGTGTATGCACGTCGTGAACGTACGCACAGTTTAAGAGGACATGGTTACAGTCTGTGTCTGCTAAAGTTAAGCATTGTCTCGGGATCATTCACTTCAAACATCCCAGTAATAATGATATTGCGCCTTACCTTGTCTCAAAGCGCTTCACAGAACATACTGTGCATTTTGTGGGTGAAACGCCAAAAGACACTTAAGTGCTCATACACCAAAGGGAGGGGGTTAGGCGACCATATGTGCGGTTGAAGAGGTAGGTCTTAAGGTAGCATTTTAAAGTTGAATAAGGGGCAGTGGACAAGATGGAGGGTTTGAGGTATGGAGTTCCAGAGATTAGGGACATAGTGGATTGGGAGTTTTATACTATTTTGCAGCAGTTCCAAACCTTTTATCGGTTCACCCACAACCTAATATTGACTTGATGGTCGAAACTCTGCAAGAAGCCATGTTAATTTGCTGGCCATTCTCATTGTATGCAGCTCTTTGGCGTTATCTGTAATGAACACTAATGTGAGGTGTTTCTTCGCTGACTATATGGTACTTGGTTTGTTCACTTCAATGGCATCACCCGAAATGCTTGCAGTGCAGAAGCAGGCAGATAAACATTATGACTTTCTTCAGACTGAATAAAATAGGCTTTCACATCTGCAATGAGCAATGATAAGTCATCCCCCATCACCCCCACCCTCCCCAGAGTGTGCTGTAGTGCTTCAAGACAAAGTACATTAAATTTACACCTTATTGTTGGATGGCACCTCCTACTCTGCAGTCCATCAGACACAGCAGGTCCCATAAATCTCTGCCGAGTGCCTGTAATAAATACTCGCCGATGCTGCCTCTGTCACATTTGTCGTTTCAAATTACCCGCCTTTCGTTTGCATTGTGGCATAACCTTTTTATCCACCAGTTATCTCTCTGTCAGCCGAGAATGGTTCATTTTTGTCTTGGTTTCTGTGCACAACAGACACGCCAGTGGGTGGCGAGGGGTGGCAGTGGATGCTTTGGACATTGACCTTTTTCTCTCTGTCTGATCCTTTGTGGTGATAGACGTTCTGTGGACACAGCCTCGATCTGAGGTTGAAATCTTATCATTCTTAGCGAACGAGAGCTCACCTTTGTATAATGGGCGATTGGGTGCCTGGAAACCTGGACCTTAAGAGAATGCAACAAGAGATTTCACGTCTTCAGGCTCACCGGGGATGGAGACAGTTGGCGAGGGAGGGGGTGGTGGTGTGGGGGAGGGGTGGAAAGACGCAGAGTTAAGATAAAGAGGCATTTATTTTCAAACTACACGCAATATTATTATTATTATTAATTTTCTTTCTTGACCCAGACATTTATCTGCTTCACCTGGGAAAGAAGAAAGATTTATTAATTTCACCCGCCAGAGAGACAGGAGGAGAAAAAGAGTGCTTAGTTTACTTGCTTGGGGAAGAGAGATTCACACGATCTGGCTGGTTGGGAATTGAGTTAGATTTACCTATACATTTACATTTTCATATCTTTTCTCTCCCTAATCAATAGAGCTGCTTGGAGAGCAGAAAGATAGGATGATTTTATGTGGTTGGGGACAGAGAAAAAAATCTATTCATTGTCCTGTGTAAGGGATGAAAGAAAGATTTACTGTATTTTATCTAGTTAAGGGACAAGAAGATTTATTCTACCTGACTGAATGGCAGGTAGACCGTTCTTCATATTAGATGATTGGGGACTTATGGACATTTATTTCACCTGATGGATGGATACTTTCATTATATTGGAGTGGGTGACACATTTACCTACTTTTGCCCAGTGAAATTTATTTTATACTAGCTCCTTGAGGGGAACATGGGAACCATTAGCCAGTAACTAACATTGATAGAACTATGAAACTAATTCCTATCATATCAACCTACTTATTCCTACTTACTGTACTTTCCTACATGGAAGGAACTAAATTGCCTTTTGTTGTTGATGTAACTTGTTGATGTCGTTAATATTATACTGATAAAAGAATACTAGTTCTCCTGATTGCTAAATCAGTGAATGATTCCAAGGCATGTGAGATGAATACATTGACCACTCTGCATGGAAAGAACTCTCAAGGCATATTAGCAATATAGTAATAATTAATAATCATCCTTGCATGCGATATAGCACCTTTCACGTCGAGAGGATGTCTCAAAGCTCTTCACAGGATTTACTGCAATGTGCAGACTGTGTATTTTGTAGGTGAATGTGGCAACCAATCTGCACACAGAAAAGTCTCACAGACAACCATGGGGTGAATGACAAACTTTATCCGATGGATTGTTGGACCCTTATCTTTTCGAGTATTGCCACATCTTTAACAACCTCCTGAACAAGCTTCTTGCTTATTCGGGAATTTACTTCAGAAACAATTCTGCATCCAGAACATTAGATGTTCTTTGTTGGCCTCCTTTTGTGCTGAAAATGTTCCAAATCCATGGAGTAAAGCCCTGGTGTAATGAAGACCTAGGACATTGTGTTATTCCTCCTGGAATCTTGTGCGCGAAAATTGGATCAGCTGGCGACAGAACTACAGGTTTCAGCCGTAACACTTTTGGCATTGATAAAGTCATTGAACTGAAAATCTTACTGATTCGCAGAAGATTTGTTGCTTACTGTCGGAGTCTGAGAAGCAAGTTGATATAGTGAAGTAGTTTCTGCTGCTCTCAGGATAGAGCAAGAGATGCAAAGAGGTCAAAGAGAATAGTCTCCTGGGTTTCACACAATTCTGTATTCATTACATTTTGCAATAGAATTGATCCTCATATTTTGTGAACCAGAGGCTGATTGAAACTCTTCCCTGTTAAGGATTAATTCATCAGCTTCAGAGAAAGCCTCTGACCAGATTCTGGTGGTAGAGACAGATGTCCTCTCTCCAAAGCAAGCACCTTGAGCAACATTGATCAATTGCTTAACTTCTCGGGATTACAGAACACATCTTCACTGGAGAATATATTTTCTGACCCTGTTCGTTTTTTTTTAAAACGGGGAACGTGTTGCGAATAAAAATGATTTAAGTTGTAGCACATCAAAGATTGACGCCAACATGTCAATATGATAAATTGGCAAGGTCGTTCAGCAAAACTTTTATAACACTGTATCATCAACAGCGCCCTAGCTGATTCAGCTATCAATTCATTAGAATGTGTC